TATATATATATATATATATATATTAAAAATTAAATAAAAAATATATTAAGCTATATTTAAATGATGTTTTAATATAAATTAAAAGATTGAAATCTCACATCCACCATTCATATTTTAAGGCTATCTAATTAGGGTTGTCAAAACACTTCTTTATTTGAAAACAGCTCATGTTCGGCTCGCTAATCTAACGGACCGAACTCGAACAAAAATTGTGTATTCAAAATATAAATGAGTCGAACACAAACAGTGATATTTTTTAAGAAACCAAACACAAGCTGAGCCCAAGCCCATTCGTGTTTGGCTCGTTTACACCGTTAATTGAGATGGTGAATAGTAGCCCGTGGCAAGGTTAGTGGTAAGAGTAAATGAATAGAGTTGTCAGAAAAATTTTGTTATGCGTGAATAGCTTGTGTTCCGTTCGTTAAATAACTCGTGTTAAATGAGTTCATTAAACTAACGAGCGAGTCTGGGTTCATTTTGGCTTAAATTAATTAATTGATTAATTAATAAGCTTTATTTCTATTATTTTTATATTAATCTTTTCTATGTATTAAAGAAATGTTAGATCTTATTATTATTGCAAATCGTGTGTATGATAACTTCATAAAAATATATATATAAATTTAGGGGTTCGGCATCTAAATAAATAAGATTTGGGTGGTGTGTATGTAAACCCTTATGTATGTGAAATATGATTATAAGAATGCATACATTTGAAGTGTAATTAGATTCATCTTGTATACATTGATTTATAAATTTCTCGTCTTTCTTATTTTATTTTATTATTGTTTGGATGAATTAAAGTAAGAGAACTTCGATTAATTAACAATTAAAACTACATCGCGAAAAGTATAATCGCACCGATTAGAAAAGTATGAAACAAAAATTTGAACCGAAATGCACGACAAAGTAATCCTAAAAAAGCACGCTAATACTTAGATTTAAGAACACAAGAATGACAGAAAAATGTGAAGTCGCGTCACACAAAAATTTCACTATGAATTGGTACAGATTACACCGCTCATAGATTCTCTCTAAAATCACTGAAATTGACAAGAATGTCATTCTAGATCCTATCACTTAAAAGAAATTGCACATTGAAATCCGCCTCGTAGACTCATTTCTGCTTCACGAAAAGCCTACTAAGAATACCGCACGCTAGAAATCATCCAAGTACCAAATGGAAGAATTTAACTATTGTAATATGGAGAAACCGTCTAAGTCTAGTCATGTTGATGTCCTACACAACTACGTTGCACTCAATTTGAAACCATGAAGCAAATGAGCCGCGACGTCGCTATACCTGATCACCGAGTAGTTATGTCTTATGGTAACTTTTTGGCTAGCATAGCTACCGCCCACTTGCTCCTTGACATTGAGAAGCTTGGCTACTTTCTTGCGGGTGTGGGTGTTTTTCCATGCTTCAAACTTCAATAATCTCTCACTTAGAGATTGATAGAACCTAAACCATGTCCTCCAGACTTATAACATCTTCATAGTTGCGTACTGTTGTGTAGGTTACCCCCGGTCTCAGCTTTCCTAAACTCCAACTGAAACTAAACAAAGCTCCAGTATCTTAATAATCACTATCTGAGTCAACATGCACGCAGTATTTTGAGTTTTGTGAATCGCTCAAAGAATAACTGCAAATCTTCTAGCAGAGAGTGAATAAAGCGATATCTCAGTTGAATATATTTCGTCATGGAATGAAAAGTAGTTTTCTAAGAAAGATGAATAACACGTGTACTATTATTATAAAGCTTTCCAATCTCCTGCTTCTTGCTGAGTTCTACAATAAATTCATATAGCCAAACAATCTCATTATTAACCTCAGTGATAGCAATCTATTATGTAGTTGAATGTGCAACATACTTCTTTAGTCTTGAAACCCAACTCGTTTTTGTATTCCCCAAATATAGATATACTCTATTGTACTTATATCATCCAAATCTCCTATCAGATCTAAATCTACATAGCCCTCTAAATTGATTCCTACACTTTAAAAAAAAAGTGTCATATTGATTGTTCCCCTCAAACACCTAAGAATTTAGCTTATCGCGTCCCAATAATTTTTTTTTATTGTCTGTGTACCAGATGACCACTCTCATTGCAAATAAAATATCTGGTCTCATACGAATCAAAAGATACACCAAACTTCAAATTGCTGAAGCATGCAAAGTTCTCCCCATCTGAGTCTGCTCTGCTTCAGATGTATATGATAATTGCTTATATAGCTTAAAGTGACTACCTAAAGGGTTGCAATTTTTTTTTTGCCTCACTCATTTTGAATCTCTATAGAATCTTCTCAACATGTTATGTTTAAGACAACATCAGTATACCTGAACTTATGTCTCTACTAATTCTCATCTCGAGGATCTTCTTGGTTGGATCTAAATCCTTCATCTAGAACTACCTTGATAATTGCTCATCAAAGTCTATGATTTTCTCCATATCTACCTCTACGTTCAACATGTCATCCACACAAAAAAGGAGCAAAATATAACAATTACCAAAGTTTGTTATGAAGCAATAGTGATCTGTATGACACTTCATGTACCCAGTGTCTAACATGAATCTGCCAAACCTTTTATACCACTGACTTGGGACCTGCTTCAAGCCATAAAGGCTTTTCTTCACTTTGCAGGCAAAGTATTCTTTTCTTGGAACCTCATAAGCCTACATTTGCACCATGTATAGTTCCTCATCTATATCTCCATATAAAAAGGTTGTATTTACATACATTTGCTCCAGATGTTGTTCTTCCTCTACAACTAAGCTTAACATAACTCTGATAGGTATCATTTTCATCACACGAGAAAAAAATTTCAGTGTAGTTCGCTCCTTCATTATGATGAAGCCCCTTCACAACAAGTATTGTCTTGTAGCGTATGCTATCATCTGACTCCTCTTTTAACCTGTAAACCCACTTGTTGTGTAATGTTTTTTTTTTTTCAGACTAGTAATACTGTCAAATCTCATGTCTAATTTGACCTTAAGGACTACATCTCGCTGTTCACAACAAACTCTCACTCCCTTAAATTTTCAACTTGAATGTCATCCTCATAGCACTCTGATTCATTAATATATATTAGCAACAAACATTATAAATAAGAAGAATACTATATGTTGGTCTCGAGATCCTTTTGGACCTCTTGACTTCAATAGTAAGTGACTGAGAAACTTTTTATGCTTAGCATGATTAAGCACTTCTTCTTTCTCCATCTTCTTGATAATCAATATCTTTGATCTTAACATATTTAGACTCTTTAGAAGTAACTGATGAACATTCCTGAGTATCCTTTATTTGTGCCGGTAATTTCATCCTAATGACGGGAGTGGTGAAATCCACCATTTGACCTAGAGAACAGAAGGTCTTAAGACTTTGACGTTCCCTACGCCGCGAAGGTTTTTCCCATGGAATCCCTTCATAACAGGCAAATTGAGGTGATTGCCCATCGCTTTGTAGAGATGCTCGCTTCGTCTCATCATTTACCTAATGGTACCTTATGAGTTTGCTAGGGCGAGTACAATTCGTTGTCGAATCTAATTGAATCTCATATTGCATGTGTTTCACAAGTTTATTGTATGCGACACATTGATTATTTTCAAAATTGCATCAAAATTATCCATTTTGTATGTGTCGTTGATCGGTTGCGCCCTATGGTTTGATATTTATCGGCGGTCTACTCGACGATCAGTAGTCACCGATCTGATCGCATCGATCAACCACTTTTTATCGATTGGTCACTATGACCTAATGAACCATTTATGGTCCAGTCGATCGATCAGCCGCCACCAGCTTGAGCGTATCAAATGGCCATCCTTTGTTGATAGGTCACACACCCCAGCTCGATCAACCATTTCCAGTTCTTTCGATACGTTTTCTATCACCGACCTGAGTGTATAGATCGATCATTCTTCTTTGATCGGCCACACAATATGGGTCGATCGACTATCTTCAGCCCACTCAATCTATCCATTGTCATCGGTCCGATCATATCGATTGATCATCCTTTGTTGATCAACTGCACACCCCGGCTCAATCAATCATTTTCGGTCCATTCGATTGGTTGGTCGCCATCATGCTGAGCACATCAATTGACCATTTTTCATTGATCTGTCACACACTCTAGCTCGAACGACTTTCTCCGGTCCACGCGATCGATAGGCCGCCACTAGCCCTACCCTTTGTCGATCGGTTGCACACTGGTTCGATCGACCTTCTTCAGTCCACATGATCGATCTGCACCACCAACAGCTCTATCAATATATCGACCACTGCTTGTCGACATGGTTAATCGGGACCGCCACCAACCCGATTGATTAGTTGATCTTTTGTATTTAATATGTTGTGTTCATTACATGCTTCTTCACATTGCCTATACTCGTGCCTCCCAATAGTATATTACTCTACATATATGCTTTCTGACATCCTTATGTCACTTAGCACCACGTCACAAGTGGTTTGCACTTGCATTTTTCACTCTTGTGTGTTTGCTTGCATAACACCTTGCATGTCCATGACATGTTTGCTTGGAGTCTTTGCATTTGGATTAGTATTCTCTTACACTTACTCCTCGTACTGAAATATTGCGTGAATATATGGTTTGCCCCTGAGGCAATCCACTGTGTAATTCCCTCAAACAGAAGTTACATCCTTTCACTATTTACGACATCGCTCCAGATTGCCGTACGCACCCCTCTGGGTCACTACCTCTAAGGTGCACCCACCTTTCGATCCATTGCCTTCACGGCACACCCACCATTCAGGTCACTGCCTCTTGGGACACCCACCCTCTGGATCCCTGCCTCCTCGACACACCCACCCTCCGGGTCACTTTCTTCTCAACACACCCATCTTCCGGGTCTCAGCCTCCA